AAGATAAACTTTGCTGAAAAACCTTCGCTAAATGTTGCGGTAATCTTTTCGCGCACAGTAAAAACGCAGGTATAACCACAGCATCCCATACTTTGAGACGCCCTAGAAAAAACCATAGCCGACGCTTAGTTGACGGTTGATAGCTTCAATGCTTTCTTGTTCAGAACGTTTAGTTAAAATTAGGTCGCTCAACGTCCGACCATCCAAGTTTGGACTGGTACCACCATCGCAACCATAACTGTTACCCTCTGGGACGTAACCATAGCCATTCGACGTCTTCGTGAGCCTCATAGTCCTTGACCAGATGACATTCCGGTCAGCGTTCCCAAGTGTGTTTCAAACGACATTTTTCTGTCACTTTTGTGTAAGATTTTTAATCTTGCACTTTAAGGTGAAACCTTTCCCAGTTTATGGAAGGCATCGCACATTCTGCCTATCCCCAAGCACGGCTGATCTACGCGATTGAATTACTTGAGGCCAATAAATACACTTCCCGCAGCCTCGAAAATCTTGGAGACCTTGAACAGAGACAAGATCATGGGCAGAGAACAGCCTACTTAATGCAGCTCAGCATGGGTTCCCCGAAGAAAGATCTTGTGATGCTTGCCAGCCCTCTTTCTTTGATCATGTATTACGATATAAAGACAGCGGCTTTGCACTTTACACCCTGTTGTTCGAATCCACTAAGGCTTTTGATCCTGATGATCATGATCTCCTCCGCCTGAATCTAGCCTCTTTCGGCATAGGTAACAAGCTTCTGAATTTAGTAACCTCCTTTTTGATGTTTGCACACAACCAGTTAAAATTTCTGGTGTTATCTCCAAACTTACGCATGTAAGGGGTGGAGCGATTCGGGGTAGCGTAAGTGGCCCTATCTTTTTTTGCCTTTTTATCAACAATGCACTTGATTGTTTTCATTATGGTAGGCCCTTTATGTATACCAACGATTTGAAAGTTGCCTATCGATATAAACCAGTAGATCAAATCATCGTGCTCGAGCTCATACAAAAGGATTTTCTGGCATTTGTCCAGTGATGCTGCACATGGCGTTTTTCCCTTACTGGGCATATATGCTCTGATATGATTGGCGGTGACGTTCATCAACCCCAAATAAGCATAGAAGGCCGCGAACCTCATGTGGCCAGAGTTATTAAGGATCTA